AATAAGACAGATAATAAAGAAAGAGGACAATCAGACAGATAATAAAGAAAGGGGACAATAAGACAGATAATACAGAAAGACGACAAGAAGTCAGGTATTAAAGAAAGACACCAATAAGTCAGATATTAAAGAAAGAGGACAATAAGACAGATAATAAAGAAAGGGGACAATAAGACAGATAATAAAGAAAGGTGACAATAAGACAGATAATAAAGAAAGGGGACAATAAGACAGATAATAAAGAAAGGGGACAATAAGACAGATAATAAAGAATGGGGACAATAAGACAGATAATCAAGAATGGGGACAATAAGACAGATAATCAAGAAAGGTGACAATAAGACAGATAATAAAGAAAGAGGACAATAAGACAGATAATAAAGAAAGAGGACAATAAGACAGATAATAAAGGAGGACGACAAGAAGTCAGGTATTAAAGAAAGACAACAAGAAGTCTGGTATTAAAGGAGGAAGACAAGAAGTCAGGTATTAAAGAATAACACCAATAAGTCAGATATTAAAGAAAGAGGACAATAAGTGAAGAATAGTTGATCTCTTCTCATAGTGATGGAACTTTTAATATCTTTCACTTTGCGATGAAATATATAACTTCATTTATCAACAAAAGAAGTACTCTGTTTAACTGACAAAATTCAAGACAGCTGCCTTTCAGCCTCAGCAATTTTCTTCTGTCTCAAAATTGAAAGGCAATAACTAGGGTACCAAATAGACTATAGATACATTGCACATACATAAAATTTGAGAAACATCAATACAATTTTTTCACCTCCATCAAGTACTTCTCAAGTTACACTGATAACAAAAATTGCTTTCAGACAACAGACAGACAGAGGGACGTAGGGCAATTTGAATAGTAGATGGTGGGCTAAAAATATCACAGCTGTATTGTAAGTAGAATGGATATTCACATCTACTATCCCTACTCACAGTAACATAAGAAGTCAAATATTGCAACAGGATACAGGTACTGATCCTGTGTACTTAACATTAAACACAAACACAATATGCAGTCAAATTGCTTTATTTACTTCAAATATCTAATTTACTAAAATTGATACATCTTTATATTTAATTACAACAAAATTATTTCAACACTTAAAATCATTTTTTTTTTCATTTCATTTCTTTTTATTGTATTCAAAATTTCTTATTTTAAAATTAAACACTTTGAAATCATAACATGAATCAAATATAAACTAGTTAATGATTGAACATGTTTTTACTGTATACAAAAGAGCTACCTGGTTGTACACACATGGTACAGTTGGTTGAATGGATTATCTACATACTCTTGTCCTGAGAGGACGGTGAACTAACATGTGGTACAGATGGCTGAATTGATGATCTTCCATTGTCCTGACAGGACAGTCAAAATATTGATGTGAAATAACATGTGGAAATAATGGTTGAATGAATAATCTGCCCTTGAGCCGAAAGTACAGTCGAGTTATTAAAGTGAAATAACAGGTGGTACAGAAGTTTAAATGGATTATCTGCCCTTGACCTGAAAGGCGAGTCAAGATATTAATGTGAAAAAACATGAGGTACAGATGACTGAATGGATTATCTGCCCTTGTGACAGAACAGCAAAAATATCAACTTAAAAATAACATGTGGTACAGATGGTTTAATGGATTACCAGATACTATTGATGACTAATATAATCTAGTGATCAAACAACCACGCTTTTTAACTTAAATGCATTACAGTATATTGTGTTAAGGCCAAATGTATACTGTATGCAATTTCTTATTGTGTTAATTTTTTCATTTCTGATATGTTAAAAGTTTGCAACAAAATATCAATAAACATGTTTGACGTGGTTCATGACATACCCTGACTTCATACTGCTGTCTAGGACTACCCTAACTTGACAGAAAACTGGGAACTATTCTCAGCTTTACAGGGATAAAGCTTACACTACACTGAGCAAGGAATCCAGGACCTTTTCTAACTGTTGCTGTCTTGGTACAGTATTTACCTAACTAGAAAGGAAATCCATCCAATCCCAATTTAACTAGGAGTTTAAGATTTTATCTGATTTTGCCTCGATCTAGGAATCATGATTAACTAAATTGGACAGGAAGCAGATATCAAACTCTGACTTTACAGAGTCCAGGACACAACTATTGCAGAAAGTTCAGGACACACCCTGACTTCACAGGGATTTCAGGACACAGTCTGACTTAACAGGAGTTCAGGACCCACCCTCATTTCAAAGGGAGTTTAAAATCTCTCCTGATCTCAAAGTCTTTACACTGAGTTCAAGATCCACCCTCACTTTACAGGGAGTGCAGGACCCAACCCCAGATCACAGGACCTATATCAAACTTCACAGGGAGTCCAGGAATTACTCAAGTGTACACAACAGTCAAAGTCAAGTAGTTAAGGAAGCTAACAAATATTACAAAATAATGTTTAAATGCAGCATCTATTCTAATAAGAGCTAAAATTAATAAACAATGAGTAATTTAAATATTATGTTAAGTTCATTTTGCACAAAACCCATGATCAATGGTTTTATAATTCATATTTCTATGGTGTTCTCAGAACACCAAAAAGTGTCACCAATGAAATGCTGTAATGGTGGTTTATTCGAATATATAATGGCTATTTTACAGTAAAATCTTTTTTCATTTTTTACTGTTCAGGACGACAAGTATCACAATAATGATATAGCCATGGGACTGTTCTATAATCATCAAAAATTTAACACTGCATATCAAAAGTGCATCGGAACAAAATTCATCCATGTTTTCTATATAAAAATATTTATTGTAATTCAATTGAAATATTTATTTTCGCTGAAGTGTAATGAAATTCAATAATCAATTGTTCTGATTATAGAAAGGCAGCTGAAAGATTTTTTTTGCAATTACCTGTAAATTTCTCCATTAAAAAAATTTTAAAAAAAATTAATTCTTTCTCATATATTTTTGTATCATATAAATGGAGTAAATAATCAGTCCTTTCCTGGTTCAAGATTGACTGTGAAGACTTTTTAATAAAACAATAAATGAACTAATACTGCTGGTAGCTTAAGAAATATTTCACTGAATAGAGAACAAGATATCTCGCAATATTGTGTAACAAAATGTAACATTATAAACATAAGTCTGAGGATTATCGACATATTTGTTTTGCACCTGTTTAACAGGAGAGTATGGTGACAGACCATTACAGCATAGTGTAAAAGTTAGTCTGCACATACCGCATGCAATATGAAAGTTCTGAATGCTACAGGGGGCATCCATCGTTTTAATATGCGTAAGTACTTCTTTAATTCTTTCTATGAAACAGCACCAACAAAAATCTCTGCACGTTAACTTCTGTCAGTGTCCAATATAATGCACACATCTCTAAAATTATTTCTGTAAAATTCCAAACAAGTAACATTAATGAATTTTGGCTGTCTTCAAATTGTAAAACTTTTTCTTTCTCTGAACTGCCTTTAGAAATGGACAAGATATTGACACTTTATGAAAACATTTTCTCTTTCAATTATTTCAATGTAGGATTCATCTTAAGATATGAATATTATGGAAACTGGCACAGACTACTTTTATATGGTCCAACATTACTGTAAATGAAGACCTAAAGGATGGGTTGCCTTCTTATAATATGCAAAATAATTCTGATTTGGTCCCTCCTCCTCACACAACTAACTCTGATTATCAAATACAAGATACACCGCTATCTACAAAAACAAAATGGATACCAGCTGGGGAAAGTTTCATTACTTATCAAGTGATTAGGAGGTACAATGAAAATAATGGACACACACATATATATATACATACTGAGACCATGAAAGAAATTCTGGTTTGTTCTTGAATAACCGTTAAGATGGCACATGGCAGAAAGGAAGTGGAACATGACATTCTCACAAAAACACTCATAGAAGATTCTTTAGACTAGAGTGAGTAGAAATGAACATCCTCATACACTCTGAGAGGCAGATTTTCAAATCTTATGCGATCCTCTCACTAACATACAACATGATTCTCCAGATGGAAACTGACAATTTCATATACTTAGTCTGGGATTCTCAAAACTTAATTACGTGTTAACTTGTACAAAAATTCACTGTTGTAACCATTAGATCATGTTCTCATTGTTAAGCACTGGTAGATTAATTGGTATAAACAAATCTACATCTCTTTCATATCCCTAGTATACTTCTACTTAAACCTTATTCAAGACTGAGTTGTTCTATATATATACAAACTGGAGCTGATCACATAAAATCCAGTTTTATTCCTTCATCTATTATTTAATTACAATGACTGATCTTGATAAAAAGATTCCAATATATAAGAATACATATTGATTGTTACAGTATTATTTTATATCCTATTACAACACCCTTTATGTCATTTTCATGGACTTACAGACTGAAACTGAGATGAAAACCATCAGAAAAATACATTTGACAAATCAATAAAATTGGGAAAAATCTCTTCCTTCAGAAGGAAGATCTAGTTCAGTTTCATGAACATTCCTCAATCCTTTACAGAATTTCTTACATCCATGTTATCTGTTTGAACTTGATGTGGATGAACATCTGTCAAGGGCTAATTTCTTCACTCTTGTATTAAATGTTTGCCTACAGAATTATAAAGATTGCTTTTTAAGTTAAGGAATGTTCAGAAACTGGGACATGATGTGTTGAACAATCCTACAAGAATTTACTCTAAATATATAATTTACAAAAGTCATGCTTTACCAGTAACCATAACAACAAATACAGTTACTTGTAATAAGAACAAGAAATTGTCAGGTATGTTGCAACATTCTAATGACTAGAAACAAATTTTGGGTGTAAATTGTATCTTAAACAAATTTAAGCTTTCTATGAATTTAAAAATAAATCATTTCAATATCAATCCAACTACCGAATGATCAACTGATTAATTCTCAAAATTGGAACTGAGAATTTAAAACAAAAGTGTATCAACTGGTTTAAAAATTTATTCCGTTAGTAATTTGAACAAGGATTAAAATAGCTTTTACAGAACAATTATGTATAAATCATTGGTTCTTCAATTTTCATGTAAACATAAACAAGTTTTAGTTTAGATAGTAGATCTGACTTATATATATCAATTTTGCACAATGTCTATTTGCTATAAAACTTCTTGATGTTTTGAGGAATACGGCAAAACTTGACACTGTGCTGGAAGATCTGTTTGACGACAAGGAGAATGAATGAGAAATGTGTAAATGCATCATTACTGGAGTTGAGTATGCTGTCATGCCTCAGTGAAATACGTCCAAACTAAAGGAGTTGTATCCACACTTGTATTCCTTGTCGTGGTCAATGGATAAGATGAAATGAGTTCAGAGCATCTAAAAATAAAAAACATTAATTTCCAAATATATACAATCTCATCTGTAAAAAAGAAAAACCAAATATGCTGCAAATTATATACAGCTTTACACATCACATGATGCACAAGCAACTTTGTGCAAAAACTACTTAAAATTTCAGGTGGTACATTGCTAATGTATATGGATGAAAATCAATTTCCATATATCTAAATTTGAACTTTTTTTGACAAGCTATTTCAATTTTACACTAGACTCTCTCAGTTACTTTTTCTTTTTCAATAAATATCAGCAACACATGACATTTGGAAAGCAAAAACTTATGGATTAATCTATAAAGCAGATAGCATGTTTGGTACCTGATGTGGTGATTATGAGAATGCGAAGACTGCTTTTATGGAGACATGATCTGATGGGAAATGTTGGTCAGGGATACCGCCTGTTGCTTTGATGCTGTCCTCATGGGCTGTCTCTAATACCCCAACATTGTGCAGACTGCCGCCACAATAGAAGATATAGTCAACTGCTGCCAGCATCACCCTGTTGTAGGAAGTCACCACAGGTTCTTGTCCCTGGAAAACAGCATAGTGGGTGCCATTGTCATATTTCAGAACATCAAAGAAACAATAAAATATTACACATGAAAAACATGCTTCCATCACCCCCACCTGCCAATAAAAACAACATAATAGTCTGGACACAAAAAACAGTAATAAGCTGACATCTAAATGTTCCTCTAATTTATCATAAATCTTAGAGTATTGCAACTTTCAATCATTAAATAAAATAAGGCAAACCAATGTAAAGGTTTACAAACAATGACATGGAAAAAGTCAAGAATTTAATGAAATTTAAACTCCCACAATCCCCCTCTCCCTCCTGTTTATGAGAGGTCTGTACTAAATTTTAAGTCCATTTCATTACTTTTTAAAGGGAATGACAATTCTCAACATCTTTTAAAATAAAACAATTTTTATACAAAGAATGGACTATTGCTATTTTTGTCCTGACTTTTAGCACTCTCGTTAGGTCTAACTACTTATATGTACAGTATGTTTATAAAATGTAGAAAATAAAATTCTGTTGTTGTAGTATTTTGTTTTCTATCAACCTGTGGACACCAACACTGACTGGAGTGACACCAACACTGACAGAGGTAACACGAAAGTCTTGCTTTTGCTCCTTCCTTGGGGAGAAACTAAAATAACATTCATTTTCCCTTTAATTTGATCAGTAGCCTTAAATTGAGACCACATACTAGACGGGAGTACTTACCTGTGCCGACTGGTAAGCACTCTTAAGGTTTGATGTGTGTTGGAATGCTCTCCAAAGATGGTTTACAAGTGCTGCCTTCTGTAACATAACATACAATTGACATTATACACAGTAAACATATTTCAATATACATAAATACTTGCATTCTCATCTTATCATTAATTACAGTGCACAAAATAGCACATATTTGTCTAACAGATCAATTAGAGTTTTCTAACCAAATGGTCTTTAGCCTATTTATAGTAATATTTGACTTTCTTTTCCAACATAAAAATGTTTTAATCAATTTTAACCACACCATGGATACAACTTTGCAGAGATTATATCCATTTTGTGAATTTCTTCTATAATGTATGACCAGGATGATAACATCTTTACGTGGACTGCATTTTATGATAATATAACTAAGTAAGCCAGTCTGAAGCTAAGGCATCTATTTTAGACCACAAAAAGAATATGATTCACCATCAGTTACACACATACAGTAAAATCCCACTTACTCTAACCCATATTCCTTGAATACTCCCTATTCATCCAACTGGCCAGTTGGTCCTGACCATTTCCTTGCATATTTCAAGTTACTTAACCTTGGATTTCTCGAACCATTATTAATCGAATACCCCACATTCCTCAAACTCATATTAATCTCTGAAATCTGATGTGACTTACATTTGAGTCGGGCATCTCTAGATTCTCTAGTGCCTGTAGCTGCCTGAGAACTTCATCAGTGATATAACCCTCCATGGCTAGTTTGTACCCAGGACTAGTCACTTCTGAATTGAAATCTCCACACAGGATCTGGGCATGACAATCACTTCCACCCTGCTTTGCTAATTCTTTTATGGCACATACAATCTGAAAGATAAATTTCCCAAATTGTGTTGAAATGGTACTGGTTCAGTGACTTAGAATTGGTATATAATATGACCTGGTATTTTGACAAGCTACTTTGGAGCAATCTTGACAGATACAATCAACTTAGTTTAAAGATTTTCATTCTGATGCATAAACATCAAGAGACTTGAGACTATGAAAGTACCAGGGTTAGAAAAATCCACTCATCCGCTCGTCTAGACGAATCAAAGCTACTTGCGGGTGAGTGATTTGTTTCAGCTACTTGTCCGGTGGGCAAGTGAAATTTGTAGTTCTGACTATTGAATATTCCATAATAAATGACATTTATCAACTAAAACACTCTTAAAACTAATTTAAATCCACTGATAGTCGATCAAATACATCAATGTAGTATCCTTGTTTGCACCAAGACTCCGGCTGATCCAGACTACGCGAAAACCTATTACGTCACCACAAATGTTGTAAACAAGGTTGTTTTGTGTACGTAGTTACTGTCAAAAAGTTGATGTTCTCGCTAGTGTTAACAGTGAATTAAAACAACAAAAGCAAGTGTTCAGTTCAAACATTTGATATAGAAATTGATAATAAAATTTGTGTTCCTTAAATTATGTTTTGTTGCCTTTTTTCTTTGGGTGAGTGAATATTGGATTCGGGCAAGTGAAACTTGAAATTCACAGACAAGTAGCTGAAAATATTTTTTTCTAGCCCTGAGTACGAGCTGAAAACAAACAGTATGATACATAAACATGAAGAGACTTGAGACTATGAAAGTACCAGCTGAAAACAAAAATTTTCACTTAATGACCCTAAAGCTAGTCTAATATCAAATCTGCCCCTTCATAAAAATTGTGAATGAAGATATTGAGTAAGTTACAATGTATGTTACACAAACGCCACCAATATTTTGCTACATATGATAAAAAATATCCATGACCTTGACGTCTAATTTTTTTAACTTTCAGCAATCAACAAGCATATGTATATAAGGAACCCTTGAACAAATTGTGAGCACAAGGACAAAATTTCATAAGACTATCTCAATTCTATAAAATTATAATAGTAAATGTTTGGTGAATGTTGTCCAGATAAGACTTCTAACCTGGTAAATTTACCTACTGTCTAGACTCAACCAGGTGGCCATTTCACCCTTACTTCCAGTTAACTGCTGTCAAAATTCAGCTCTAGACCAGGCATTTAAATGAAAAGCTGATGCTGGAGACTTGTGTAATCAGTGTTACTTTCCATGGGGTGGGAGGTTGCCTATGCAGACATTCAGTCAAGCTGTCCAGTAAATTCTACAGTACAATTGAGATGACCAGCTCTATCAACGACTTACCTGTATACACTGAGCATCGGGGATTTCCATCTTGCCCCACTGGACATGAATGTTACCGACACACAGTACATTGTCAGTGACTTTACAACGTAGCTTTGTCAGCACCAGAACGTCAGGCAGGTCCAGGTATTTCCTGATGGACACTTTAACATCCTCACTTACGCCACCATCTTCTAATTCCTGTAAAAAATATATTGTCATTCATACACACACACTCATATTTTCTATTCTTATCCTACATAATAATCCTACATTACATTATAATTTACTCAGAACTAATACAGATTGACCAGTTTTATTGATTACTGTATTAATGACAAGTCAGCCATTATTCATATTTAGAGCATTGGCATAGTTCAGCATAGCTTAGCTCTAAAGAAAATAATAAAATGAGTCACAGCCTGATACAGGTAAAACAATCATAACATTGTGGACTTGTAGACTGTAGATGATGTGATTGTACTAACAGAGGACTTGTAGACTGTACATGATGTGATTGTACTAACAGAGGACTTGTAGACTGTACATGATGTGATTGTACTAACAGGTAAAACAATCATGACAGTGATGACTTGTAGACTGTAGATGATGTGATTGTACTAACAGAGGACTTGTAGACTGTAGATGATGTGATTGTACTAACAGGTAAAACAATCATGACAGTGATGACTTGTAGACTGTAGATGATGTGATTGTACTAACAGAGGACTTGTAGACTGTAGATGATGTGATTGTACTAGCAGGTAAAACAATCATGACATTGGGAATTGAAGTCTGTACATGAAATGATTGTACTAATAGGTAAATCACCATATAAAGAAACATTCAATTAAAACAAACACCTATATTTCAATATTTTTTCTACCATAGTTTTATGCACAAGACAACCAATGGATGGACATCAATTTTCTTACATAGGATTGCTCCCAGTCCTACACTGGATAAGGACTGAAAAGGAACCAGGTAACGTTTTGTTAGTGATTACCTTTTCTGCTAAATCTGCTAAGGAGTATGTCTGAGACTCTATGACAGAAAATCTGCTTGTCTTGTAAAACGTGGCTTCTCCTTCATTGAAGTATTCCTGTGTTCTCTTCTTCATAACACCCTCATACCCCAATCTGTTCACAAAATCAACAAATTGCAAATATCATTTTGATAGACAACATATATACAAGATTTGTGAATAGTGATAGGGCGTTCTTACATTACACTATATGTTAACAAACTACCAATTACTATTATAACTGTATACAGGAAAATGTTGAGTTCCCTCAAACAAGACAATATAAGATATGGTGTTCACAAATAACAGTACCACTCAGAGGCTGCTATATGTCCTGTAACACTATAAAACATCATAATCCAGGCATGGTAGACAGATACAGTCAAAGAATACTGATAAAAAATCAAAACCGCCCTCACTTGAGCAGACACAGTATAATCACTAAGGACAAGATTACTGCATGGCGGAACAGTACAGACTCATCCCATATCAAAGAAATATTCAGGATTTGTTGTAATGAAAATCACAAATATGGGGATGGCAATAGTAAGTTAAAATGTCAAGAGGGAAAACAAGCAGTTGAAAGATCTACAGACAAATGAAAGTTTATGACCGAGAGATAATGAATTGACACACCATACCATAATACATCCTGTCAAAATTTTTGATGAGTGTATGAAAATCAGAGTTTCACTATATCAAGTACAGCATTACACAAGTACAATGTACTGTGAGATGGAACAGTATACACCCATCCCGTCCCATGCCAAAGAATGATACATCAAAAATACAAGTTTTAATAAAAAGGATGAAGAATTATTATTTTGACAAGATTTCAATGCTTCAAAAAAAATTAAAGGGCAATAACTTTTTGAAATATCATTGAATCAAAATACTGTTCATAAGAACACCATCTCGTGAAATAGTATAAAACCTACCAATTTTGAGAGAAATTTGTGAAAGATTGGAAAAGATATCAATACAAAATTAAAATGCTAAAAAAGCAAAGAGCAATTAACACCTTCAACCATTGCTGAATCAAACTGCTGTGTAGGAAAACAACTTCATGTCATGTGATTAAGCATACCTTATTTGAAAAAAAAAAGACAACTGAAAAAACAAGAGAAAGATCTCCAGATAAGATTACAAAATAAGAAAACAAGGGGCAGTAACTTATAAAATACAATTGAATCAAATAACACAACTTCATGTCAAGGCTATTAAGCATACCAACGTTGAAAAATAGAGGTAGAAAAATCTGGGAGATCTCCAGATAAAAAATGACAACACCATACTTTAAGTCAAGTCAGTATTTTTTGATCGGCTAATAAAAATTAGGATTAAAAAATGAGAAAATTAATGATAACAAAGGTTGTGTCAGGCACAATAGTTTTATTTTGGTTGTTTTCGTGTCCCCATTTTGATAGCATTAAGGCTATCCCAAATCTTATGGGGATTTTCACTTTTAGTAGTCATCCCTTACGATATAGTCAAAAAAAAAAAAAAAAATGGGGTTACTTATTTTCATCAAGTCTCTGAAGTATTTAATGGACGCTGCTTCTGAGCTTAAGAATTGATAGTGTAAGCTGACATCTATTTGTATCTTGTTTGAGAATAATAATACATATGTAGACATATGTATTGAAAACAAATACTTAGCAAACAAGTGCCACAGAACTTTGATCAATACTAAATGCTTACTGATATACATGTAATTGTGAAACTGCTATAAAATACATTGACACACAGTGGCAAAACAGTGGAAGTATTCAAAGGTTTGAAGCTGTCACTGTTTCAATATAAAGCTACCCTAGAACTTACACAAATTCAACTTACTTTGACATTGCTGGTTTGAGTAAGGACTCAAAGTATAGAGGTCCCACTTCCTGCATACACACTAAATCTGCACCAAGGTATTCTATTTCTTTCACAAGGTTTTGATGACGATAACTTTCTGTTAAATACTGAGACTCTGTAAATGTATAGTCATTTCTCTCTAAGTGACACTGAGCTAAAATGTTGTAACTAACCACCGAGAATTGTTTGTTAGTGTCCCCTGACTGATAAGCTGGATTAGGAATAAATTTCCTGGACAGCACTGGATTGACCTCCGACACTGGAGATGATGCTGTTGTTTGATCCTGATTAATATCTGAAACCACTTCTGCTGCAGGAACTTCTGACTGACTTTGTTCTGCTGTTGTAACAGTGGTTGCCTCCTCTTTCGCTGTAGGTAAGCACTGTAAGACTTCTGTGCTATTAGCTGCTGGTATTTCATCCATATTCACGACAACATAATCCTGTACAATATCTTGATTTCCTGTGTCTGTGGAAGTTTGTACTACTTGTGATTCCAGGGCCTTCTGGTCTACATTTGTTTCCATTGATTCCTCTTCTGCTTCTTGATTTGAAACCTGATCTTCCCCATTTGTCGTTACTACTCCTTCACTTGTGACATCAGCCATATCAATAGACCGACGCACCTTTTTAGGTGATAGGTCCTCTTCTTTGTCATCCAGTTCACCCCACTTGCGTTTGCGGGTTGGAGAAGAAAGCGGATCATCTGAGGATCCGTTTTGCTGCTCTCTGTCCGTTGTTGCAGGTTCTGAAACTTCCTGGGGTGCCTCCACTTTAGCTGCCTCTGATTCTTCAGCAGCTGGTGTAACTTCTGCTTGTTCTTCTTTCTGTTCTTCACCACCACCTTCTTCCATTGGTTCATCCTTTTGCTCTTCTATCGCATCTTCATCATCAGATATTGCTTCAATTTCAGGTGGTTTAGATTCTTGCGTTGCTGGAGATGCTGACTGTTTTACTGGTGAAGGTCCCGAAGGTGGTATGGTTTCTACTGAAGGTTCCTCCTTTTCTGGTTCACAAGGCTCCTTCTTATCCACTTCCTCCTTTTCCATTTCTTCCTCAACACTTTCCTCTGGTTTAGTGCAAGATTCATTTTCTTCATTTTTCACTTCGTTTTCTTCTTTATTTACTTCAGTTTCTCCCTCCATTTCATCTTTAACTTCTTCTTTCGACTCTTTGTCCTTTACTTCTTCATCCTTCATTTCCTCATCCTTCATTTCTTCCTCCTCTTCTTCTACTTCATTTTCCTTCTCAATTTCATTTTCTTTTTCATTTACATCATTGCTTTCTTTCTCCTCTACCTTATCCTCTACTTCTGCTGTATCATCTTCTGTATCCATACCTTCATCTTTAGTTGCCTCCTCAGACACAGCTGATTCTTCTACAGTTTCTTCATCCTTGGTCGTCTCTACTTTTTCATTTTCTGTAATGACTTCTTTGCCTTCATCTTTTTCAGCATCTTCAACTTTCTCTTCTGCCTCAGCAGACTTTCTACCACGTCGAGCTGGAGGAGTAGATTTCTCAGTGGATTTTGATCTTCTAGATGCTTTTGGACTGGCCTTTTGAGGTGAGGATTTTGCAGATGAACGACCTCTACTTGCAGAGGGTGATGTTACTTCTTTTAACTTTGTATTGTTAGATTTGCTAGGACTATCAATCTTGGTGAGAATAATTTGTGCAGATGGCATGTCACTTGCCTTTTCCTCCTTCTTGCCCCTGCTACTGCTTCTTGTACCAGTAGACTTTGGTGAAGAATTAGGTTTGGCTACAGTTACAGGCGTTGCTTTTTTAGCTGGTGTTTTTTTGGTTTGGCTCTTGGGTTGGCTTTTAGACTTGGCTGGTTTGGGCTCTGGTGTTTTGGGTTCAGGTTTTGCTGCCTTAGACCTACTACGTGACCTTGAAGTTTCTGCCTTTGGTTGCTCTGTCTTGGTTGGTGTAGGAGCAGTTTTTTGACGAGAGCTAGAACGACTTTTCTGAGTTGGTGAAGGGGCAGGTTTTTTTTGTTCTGCAGCTTTGCGACTACCTGCCCTCCCACGAGATGGTGCCTCCTCCTGTTGCACAACAGCTCGAGTGACTCGCCCCTTCTTTGGACTTGGCATCTCTTCATCATCACCTGGTAAATAAAAAAAATTTACTCAAAAAAGTTAAATTAAGGATGTCAGCATTCCTATTTCTCTACTCACAACAGCACTGTTACTCTATGATCACTTTGCGATACTTAATTAACAATAATGTTTATATATGTCAATATAAAAAATTACTTATACATATTGAAATTAATTGATTTAAGAAACAGTAGCACACCTTGTCCCTTCTCTTGTTTTGTATCCTTTGCTCCTCTTCCTCTGCTCCTACCCCTGTAATCAGAACAGAATATAACTACATCAGAACTGTCATGTAATGGTATTAATCTTTAATTTTTTTTGAAGGATTTGTGAATTCCCAAATACAATATTATTAAGGATTATAATTTCAGAATACAATAAGGCTTTCTTGAATTTAAAAATATAAATCTTCTTTGTATTTATTTTTTCATTTGTCCCTTCCTTTACACGTGACATTTGAGAATTAACTCGAGGACTATATTGAAATCAAAAACCATCGATCTGGCATTTATGACAGTCAACATGTGTGCATGCACAGAATCAGGCAGACTTTGCCTTAATTACATGAGCTGTGTCATATAGGATTACACAGTGGTCATGAACAATACCAGATGGATATACTGAATCATAGGTTTAATGTGCCATAATGTTAATATAAAATATTTTATAGTAAAAAGTCTTTTTATTTCATCAATTAAAAAAAAAAATGTTCTGTATCATACTTACAAATCATTTCAAACTTTACAAATATCAGATACCTTATGACATGTCCTTTAAATTTAACAATTACCACTCAAAGAAACACCTTATTTGAGTGTTGGTACTTGAGTCCACAATCTAGAACCAAACCTCGCACAAAAAAAAAAGCAATAAAATATAGACTAGGTGTCACATATATACTGCCTTCAGTCATTAGCACAGATGTAAATAGCTTAATAATGCCAATTCATTTATTTCATGGAAATTACAGCATGTAATCTTACATGAAGTGATTATACAACTCTACCTTGGGGCAGGTGAAGGACTGGGGCTCCTTTTCCTGGACTTTTTGGGTGAGGGTGTTTCTACAGCTGGGGCGCTAGACCCTCTTGTCTTCCGAGTGGTGGGAGCTTCCTCCTTCACAACAGGTGCAGGGCTCTTGCCTGTGCTTCTCCTACTTCTGGGCATTGTTTTGGTTTTATCTTTACTACCTACAACAGAATAACACAACATGTAAGGCCTGGTGGTCAGCTAAAACAAATCTAGTAATAGTGAAGTTGTTACAACTGGACATGATAATCACTAGGCGTCCTTGATGAAACAACTTTAATAAGTTTCATGGTAACTTCTACTTTTATGACAAGTTGATTTCTCAACCTCAAATGATTTCATAGATATAATCTATTTAATCTGAAAAATTATTTCAACTCATCAAACTTCCACTAGAATTACCATTACATCCTTGCCCTTTAATCTAAAGCAACATTGATACTAAATGACCCTAACGAGGTAATGTCTTATATGACTTTAAAATAAGCAGAATTAGAACAAGTCCTGGACTAAAATTTTAAACTATATTTCAGCCATATGTATTTAATTGTATGTAATAGAATAAATAAGTCACGTGTGATATTAAATAGATTTTTATAACTAATTATCAACCTTATTAATTTGGTAGATGTGTATAACAAACATTTCAAATGTCCCTCAAAGTTTATGTCTGCATTAGAAATAAGCAATGTCTGGTAATAAGACCAAGAAAATCTCTTTTTATTTAAAAGAATTACCAACAATTAAAAAGCAAATTCATCCCACAAATATTGAGTAAGGAAGTTTGTGTTGACAAATCCTGTTTCAACAAGCCAATATACAAGCTTGCTATTCACAATAAGTCTTCGCAGAAGTACTCATCAATTGATCTTATGTGCCAGAGGACAACTGAAAAATTTTATTATTTTTTTTCGTCTTCAAAACCTGGCATATCCCACAAAATAGTTACATCATCTACATTTGTGCAGTGGTTATCACAGAAAAATTCCAATTTCCAAAAGGGATGTCTCAACTTCAACTTGTAAATATTTAAAATCAATTAAGATTTTAAAGAAATATTTCCAATTTTTGAAAGAAGAATCTCAAATGATTGTATCTTCAGTAAGTTGAATAATTGGGTAGTAATCTATCTACAAATCAAACACCACGTAAATCATATTCCAACAGGTACACTAGGCAGACAATTTTCCATTTTATCCCACAACATCTTAATTCATGCCAAGAAAAAATAATCATTTGGATACATATTTGTATGACACTCACGTGAAAGTATAGAACCCATCCTTCGCAGTCTCTGAGAATCACGCTTCCATAACATACTCAAGTGATTTATAGCGAAATGAAGTGATTAAAAATATATTTCTAAAAAAATGCATATGCGGTGAGACATTGGCGTCAATGACAAACCACAGTCCGTCCTTAAAAAGTTCTGCTGTACAAAGAATAATATCCCAATTTAATGAAGCAAATAGCAATGCTTCAAAATCATTGTACTAACAAAGACACAACGCTTTCCAACTCCCATAATCCTCTTCCAATCGATGACATTTACTAGTAAATATTAGGCTGCTGTACCATCCGACCCTGATCCAATCTTAATGCTTCTCGAGTGATGGATATACCGGAATAAGTTTCAAACTCAGCTGCCTGCAAGCCAGTATCACATGACCTATATTCATTCGTGCAGGAAACTCTAGCCTTGTATGTAAATCTTGGAAGAATTACATAAAAATGCAGTGCTTTATAAAAGTAGGAAAAACAGCTATTTGTCCTGTAGCGCTTCCCAGGGTGAGAAAAACTTACTCCAGACAGGTGTAAACAGCTAAAAACATATATGCTCCCTGCAAATTTAGGATGCACTATGACTCAACGATCAGGTAGAACTAGTCAAGTGGAACATTGGGAAAACTGCATGTCGACAAGCTTTTTTGAAAGTGATCAGCATGTGAAAATGCATTTTCATATAAAAAATGAGTACAAACTTACTGAACATCTCACTATTTTCATTTGAATAATACGTTCAATGAGTGTTTGTATGTTTATGAATGAACACAAATTCCAAACCCTGGATAAATTTTCAATCCAATAACTACCAAGTGTCCTCCAGGATATTTAGCTTTATCAATCTCTGCATGTCATCTGGTGCTGCAAATACACATTTCTAGGGGGCAACTGATTTCAGTATACATGTAGATTAATTAGATAATGAATACATGTCATTTGCAAATTAATATATAACAAACTCTCTGCTTATATAACTGTAATACTAAAACACTAGTTCAATATCTACAGAATACTGGTGTATATATATATATATAGATGTACATGTAAATAGTTGATGAAATTTTGATTTATGTTGAGATTTACAAGCACATTTATAATGTGTAACAACAAATATACTCAACATTGCCCGACATTGAACTATTTTATTACATTATTAATGAGGTAGAAATGTCCAACTTTCCACGACACAGAACTGCAGATATCAAGTTAGAATTTCTTTTCCTCACTTTTGTTGTTGTTTTTTTTTTCAAATGAAGATAAAATCATATGATGATTCAGATTAAACATCAACTTGCAAGAAAGGAGAATACTTATGCTATATAATTTCAAAAGTTCAGCTAGTACTGATGCAGTAAACTAGATATAAATACAAGTGATTTCTAAATTTTAAATCAGAGTAGCATCATCTTTTTCATTCCAAGCATTAAGCTGAAGTCAGCTTACATAATTAAATTTTTTTCTCCTGCAAATGTCTGTCAGATAATGGATGCAATTTTATCCCACAGCTACTTGGTAAACATGCGACGACATTGGCAGTGTTAATAGCATGTCGCTACAATCCTAGCAAAACAGGTGAGTTAATGTGCTGAACCTGACACCATCGTGAGACCAGGTCTGTGTGCTGATCAAGTTAATTGAAGAAAGTGCAACAGCTTACATCAGTTGATGGCAACAAGGTACATCTCCCGTAGTTTACAACGAGTACATTTCAATCAAAATATCTTATCAATGTGATGTCAAGTTTTTTTGAACGCTGTATTTAAGTGAATTGCATCTGATAAAGTAGCGACACTACACCTAACATTGCACTCCATAAACAGTAACCATGACAATAAATACTGAAATTTTGTATAGATCTTACATATCCACTGATAACCCTAGACAATGAGAAACCCAGCACTGCACTCCATCATGACAATAAATACTAAAATTTTGTATATATGTAACATTTCCACTGCATGATACATATATAAACAAAGTGAAACCTAACATTGCACAGTAACCATGACAATAAATACTTATTTTTGATAGCTAACATTTCCGCTGAAAACTACAGACAAAGTGAATAAATTATTTTACTCTGATGATCTATAATTTGTTTTAATATAAATCATATATAACTTTGTGAAGATAACCATCTGAATATTCTTGTTTGAGTAGCGAAGACTTCAGCCTATCGGAAACACCTCTGAATAAATACATGTACAATATGCTTACAAATGTTTTGATTGTACATAAATGAAGCAATGAAGCAAGCATATTGCAGTCATCTAGAGTTTGTAGCTTGTTTGTAGATATACATGTTAACTATATCAGTATCAATTGTCATCTTAACCGATCAACAACTTTTATAAGGCAGTAGAAGTGACACTCAAACATTTGTGGTGTTTTGTCACAAAACAAAATATCCATGACCTTACAGAAACTTTCATAACATATACAATATCGAGTCAGGATGTAATGTATAAGTTCTTTGTGCATGTGTTCAATCAATGTTCCACAATATTACATAATTAATCAGAAATACTTAGATGAAAAAGCAGGTGGCTGACATGCAATACACCTGATCACAGCTACCAACATATGATAACATTTCTGTTTTATTACCGTAGTCAGCCAACAGTGAGCCCAGAAGTCCCACACAAGGGGTGGGATTACATTAATGAATTGGGACTTAATACTACAAACACAAAAAACCCTACTAAAGTATGGTTTTATGTTGGGTGTTTTGGAAGTTGTGAATCCCACGGTTAATTCTGATGGGTGAAAGGGGTAAAATTCAGAGGTCTGTAGCTATCACAACTTCACATCACAACTTAATTTTAAGGATTTAGTGGCATTAATTAGAACAAAATAGTAGGCGAGTCTGTAAAGTAGCTTTGTTCATAGCAAAATGAAGAAAATACTGCCATGTTCACAAATTTAATGGATCCAAACTCACTGAAACTGGTGCAAAATATGGACAAAAGTCTGATTTACAATGAGACTTCAGAAAATGTACAATAAGAATAAGACCAGGTGTTCTGGAAGAGCAGCATCTTCTGCTTCATAGACAACACCCACCATGGAAATCTGTGTCAAAATAATAAGTGCCATGATTCCAGATGAAAATAAGGTAAACAACAACTGAGCCAAAGACAAACTAACGGGCATCAATGACATTCAGCTTCATATTGCACAAAGAAATAGAATATTTCTAGATGACAACCTTAAAACTTCCCCCTATTATTTATCAACCTGTATTTCTCAAAACCCTTTGTTGTGAGTTTATTTGTCAGTTGTCAACAAGCCATGGAATACTGAATCAACTGCAAAATGTAAACACTTTAGGTTTGGTATGTGCACTTATGTGACTATCCAGAAATGGAAAATTCACAAAAGGGAAATTGAAATCCTTGAACTTTGCATACATCTTGGTTGAAAGTTGTCGTTAATTCATTGTAAAAAAAGATTGAGGTATTCGGCTGTAGAAAAGTCAGTACAAGTTCACCAACACCACTACATACTGTAAATAAAATGAATGTCTCTAACCGTTCCACATTGAAACTAAGGACAATGATAGATTGTTCTGTTGTTTGATGGTTTATTATTAGTATTAAACTGCCATTGACATAATTAGAAAAGATAATCATAACATCATAGATTTAATCTGACACTTAAATAATTCAGATTGTTCAACAGTCTAAAATTCAGACAAGGATGTCATGCTTATCATGCTATATATATGGTAGTATAATTTGAAGCCATTGTGACAGTAAGATAATAGTCCTGCTTTTATAGTTACTATATATGTACTGCAGTAATTAAATGGCATTCAACTTCATGCAAAACCTGTCCCATTGTCTTTTGCACAG